CACTGTGTTAGTAGGTCAAAGAAAAAAATAGGATCATCTTAATATATGCCAAAAATGCATTTGATTAAATTGAATATCTATTCCTGATTTCTTTTAAAGGAAGAGTTGGACTTCCTTGACATGATCTCATTCCAAATGATGAGACATCTAAAATATTTAAATCAAGATCAGGAAAAAGACTGTCCAGGGAGTACATAGGGAATCATATGTAGTATTTAACACTAAAATAATGTATTCCAATAGTACTTAAATTAACATTAGATCCTTTATTATGCTGTTGAAGAAACCTGAAAAATGTGTTACAGTTTATCAATCATTTTGCAAACTGATGAAGCTATGAAATCTTGGAAGAGCAACATGATATGATGCAAAACATATGAGTCGGACTGATTCCAGAATCCAGAATCATACTACTAATTCTGCCATTTTTGTTATTTGGCCATAGCAAGTTATCTAAAATCAGATTCTCGGTGCCCCTTATCTACAAAATTGAAGTAATAGCAGGCAAGATGGAGTAAACTTGCTACTGGCTATCTCATCTCTCCTGGCAATTATTGCCAAACCTCTGGACAAAATAAAAATGCAAACAGATAAGGACTATGAAAAGTAAACAAAGCAGATGGATTGGGAAGAGTAGTTAAAACCTGGACAAATAACCCAGACAAGAATGAATTCCACATTCCCCCGGCTCTTTTCTTTCATGGCTTTAACCTGAGGGTGGGTCTCAGTCACATGGTAGTGGCCTGGGAGGTCACCATATATCAGGCCCCTGGGGAAGGGACCCCCTGTGACTCAAAGAATGTGGAGAGAATCCCAACTTTCAATTCTCTTTGATTACTTCTGCCTTTGCCCCATGGGTGACCTCAGTAGAGAACTACACGAGACAATGTGGAGGCCAAACTCCAAGATAAACCCCACTTTTCTTACTAGAGGACTTGGAAAGGGCGGCCTCAGTGGGAAACAGTGTGTGGGGAATCCTGCAGAAGAGAGAGCTGGAGAAGGGGGTCCCAATAATTCTGTGTATGAAGCTGTATAAGTCCTGGGCTTATCTCTGAGCTGCACATGCGTAGGACAGGCTTGAAGCTGCTTAGCAAAGGCTTTGAAAACTGAACTGAAAAAAAAACCACCAACCACAGAAGAAGAGAGAGAACATGTTGTCTGAACCTCGTGCAAACAGAGAAAACAAACTAATATTCTCCAGAGGATTTGAAAATGACTCAAGAGTCTCGACAACCTAATATTAAAAGTTTCTAGGATATAATCTAAAATTACTCGACATACAAAGCACCTAGAAAATGCACCAATTCTCAGGAAAGAAACAATTAAGATGCCAATCTTGAGCTTATGAAATTGTCAGACAAAGAATTTAAAACATATAAGGTTTATATGTTTACTTTATAGTTTTTATATATTATATTTAATTATATTACATATAGTTGATCTCATAAATATTTACCTCATATGTAATCTCATTGTATATCTAATTATATATGATATATTTCATTATATGTTATACCTTATTATATGTTTTTATATATTATATATTTAAGTATTTATATATTTATTTTATAATTATGCTCCCATGAGGTAAAGGTAAATACATTTGAAATAAATGGAAAGATAGATGATCTCAGCAGAGGAATACAATTTTTAAAAGGAACAAAATAGATATTTTGGGACTGAAAATTCACAATGTCTATGATAAACAATTCAATAGATGAGCTCAGCAGCAGGATGGAGATGACAGAGGAAGGAGTCTGTGAACATGAAGATACATCAATAGGAATGATCTAATCTGAAAAATAGCAACAAGAAAGATTGGAAAAGAATTGAACTGACCTTCAGGCACATGTGGAATCATATCAAATGGTCTAACATCTCTGTCGCTGGTGTCCCAGAAGGAGAGAAGAAAGTGGTGCAGAAAAAATAGTTGAAAAATAGGGTTGCAAATTTCTCAGATTTGGTGAAAGACAAATTATACATTCAAGAACCTCAGCAAATCCAAAATAGGAAAAACTCCAAGAAAACCATGCCTAGATAGATCACATCAACCTGCTGAGAGCTAAAGAAAAAAATGCTGAAAGCAGTTAGTGATAAATAGTATATTCCATATAAAATAAGGAGACCCCATTAGAGATTGAATGGTTATATGAGGTTGAGAAATGATATGTAAAATGTTCAGCAGATAAAAGACACAAATGGTAAGTATTGTTATTCGAATTGTAATTCCTTTACTACCTCTCAACACACCATATTTATTTTCTATTATATTTCTTCAGCCTTCCTGTGGTTTCCTTTATATGGATTTGATCCCAAGAACTGGATGCAAATATGTCTTTGATATTATTTCTTGTGGTTTACCCACAATCTCTTGCTCTTGTGGAAATGAGAGTCTCTGAATTCACGTCCTGTTTTTGAGCAAGTTTTTTTTAACTTACACGGTTCCTCAGTCATTACATCGGTACAATAATGCATCCATTACTGTCTTATAGGGATATTGTGAAAATCTGATGAGATATAGAGAAAAACATAAACATTCCTGTGACCAACTAAAACACTGGAAGTCATATCTTTCAGAAACAGTACCAGTTTGGAAGCTCTGAAAGCCTAGTTCTTTTAGCCAATCTCATGAAAAAATATTTTGGAGAGAGAAGGCTTGTCCACATTTCTCCCTAGGCTGATAATGTTGGGGATGTGTCAGTAATCCATTCATGCTTTGCCAGCTGACCCATAGGTTAGGCCAAGCAGTCACCTCATGAAACCAAAACATCCTTTTTAGCAAGGCATTTTTTGGCTGTTTGATGCATATTCAGCCCTTAAATATTAAATGCTCTTTCTAGCAAAGTGGAGATCATAACCTCTGTCTTCTCCTTGGTACAGGAAACTAGGAGTAGTGAAGTTAAGGCATAAAACATTAGATTCAAGTGAAAAACATTGGATTCAGGTGACTAATTTGAGCTAGCATAACCAAAACGAGTCTGAAAGCCTAAGCATTTTAACAACGTTTATAAATCTGTAAACCCCTCGGCTGCCCTCCCCACTTCCCAGAGGCTGTGAGCAGTAGCACACAAAATACCCACAAGAGGTGTGAGATCTAGGTCTCTGGGCCAAACTCAAGCATGGAGTGAGTGGGGTCAGCACGAAGCAGCACCGGGTGGCCTGGGTTGTAGGAGGATGTGAAGAATGGGTGAGAGGGGAGTCTTCTCTGAACAAAGCCATCTCTGCATAAAGGATGTCATCATGTAAAGACTGAGAGAAAGCAGGAGTCTTTCATAGGCTAGAGACACTTTCTCAGAGCTTCTTAAAATCCTTGGCCAATAGTGATGGAAAAATCTCTCAAGTTTCTTGAGCTTTAGGATTCTCTGTTTAACAGAAGGCAGCAAGGGAGAGTGGAAGGAATGTGGAGCCTGCATCTAGTGTGCATTCTGCTTGTATCCTTAGGAATACGATACAGCCTCAGTTTCTTCTTCTGTTAATAGGAAATAAGAAACCCCTGTTTTTAAAATGGGGTTTCAAATGGCATGCATGAATAAAAGATACTGCTGAAGGAGAAATAGGACTTGAGGGGCGCCTGGGTGGCTCAGTTGGTTAGGCGACTGACTTCGGCTCAGGTCATGATCTCATAGTTCGTGAGTTCGAGCCCCACATTGGGCTCTGTGCTGACAGCTCAGAGCCTGGAGCCTACTTCAGATTGTGTCTCCCCCTCTCTACCTCTGGAGTGAGTGAGAGTGAGGGGAGTGTCTACCCCTCCCCTGATTATGCTCTGTATCTCTCTGTCTCTCAATAATAAATGAATGTTAAAAAAATTAAAAAAAAAGAAATAGGACTTGAAAACTTTTACATGGTACAGAGAATTCTTTTTGTTACACATGGGAAACAAAGACATGGAGAAAAATGAGGACTAACTCGGATTTGCTGTGTTAGTGCAAAATCCAGAAAACCTTACTCCATCCTGTTAGTCCTAGTCTGATTTCTGGAAGAAGAATGTTATAAAGTCTCCCTGTCCTCTGTGCTTGCCCTTCCTCCTTTCATTTTCCCTACATGTCCATACACAGTCTGTCAGTAGTCCCACATGTGTCTCCCCCACCCCATGATGTTTCTCTCATGTCACTATTGCATTTTTTAAAAAGTGGACAAAAGTGTTATTAACTCAAGAAAACTGTTATCTCCACTTCCAACATACCATCCTAATTATGAACAAATGGTATGTCTCTATTTTTGCTAGTTTTCATGGGTAAGTGGTAAAACCCCAAATAATATCTTTGTTAAGCTACGTCTAAGTAATCCTTGTATGTCAACAACATTTTGCCACACCTGATTCAAATTTCCTTTTTTCCATGGTACCATAAACCCTCCCTTTCTATTCCCTGCCTTGGCAATTATGTTTAATAATATTTCACGTTCTTACTTCTCTCACAGTATGCTTATTATATCTCTGTAACCTTAACCCACAAAATAAATCTAACTTAAATAAAAGAAACTATAATCCTCCAAGGATTTGGCTTGCTAACATTTTGCTTGAAGTTAGCAGACTGAGTTGCCAATCAAATGTAAGATTTACCTTAATGCGATTTAGTCATTTACAGAATTTCACCAACATCAGGAAATTCTATCAGTCATCACAGAGTAAACTAGCAGATGGGTCAATGTACAAAGTTCAAGGCTTCAGTGGAAAGAAAGAACTATATGATTAAAATGACTGATGGGGCGCCTGGGTGGCTCAATCAGTTAAGCATCTGACTTCGGCTAAGGTCATGATTTCTCAGTTCTTGAGTTCGAGCTATCTGTGCTGATAGCTCAGAACCTGGAGTCTGCTCGGATTCTGTGTCTCCCTCTTTCTCTCTGCCCCTCCCCTGCTTGTGCTCTCTCTCTCAAAAATAAACATTTAAAAAAATTAAATTTAAAATGACTGACAGTCAAGGCTGGCACTAGGGCACATATACCAGAACTACTCAGGAAAAGGTGGGCTTTTTAGCAACAGGGAAGGGAAGCATCCTTACCTGTCTTCTGTTAGCTTCATTAGGGTTGTTCCTCGAGTAGAGAAGACAATAAAAGACATTCTTAGCTGTGGGCTGGAAAGGAAAAGAAATTCTATTAGGGCAGATAGAAAGACTATAGAATGCCATTTCCTTCCATTCATCTTCCCTGTTTTTCCTCTCCTATCTGGCTGCCAGAGCTGAGGACCTACAACCCTAAGAGAGACCCCGCAGCTGGTGTCACAAGTATTTAGCCAGTAGCCGACTTGAAACTGTGGACCAGTGGGAAGACCTGCGGTGTCTTCCGGGGGCACTGCTTCAGATTTGACACCACTGCTCAGTGACAGCGGGTGACAAATAGGAAAGCTAACATTCATCACTGCCCCATGCTCTGTCTGAAGAAGTGTAACTCTAGAAGACAACTGGTCTGCATGGTGTTTTATAAAAAGGGGACCCTGATAGGTGAAATTTGATAGTGTCTCCACGGCAGTCCAGTGTATCCTTTAACGAGGGGAGTGGCTAAACCTGTTGCAGCTTGGTGCCATCAGCCACTAAGATCATACTATAAACACCCTTTGCTCTGAAAGCAGGATCACCATCAACTGTTAATTTCTGCTCGGTTTCCCAAGGAGGTGATCCCAGAAGGAGAGAAGGTGCTGATGGGCCACCAGAATATCTATTCCACTTGGTAGTTTTATACTTCTCATTATTAATATACACGGTGGCATGGCTTGTTTATGGCAGTGCTCAGGAGCTTTGTCCTAGGTAAAATCCACACTCTTAGAGGCAGAACAACTCTCAGTTGAGGACCAAACTTGTTTCTCTGTCTGCAAGATGGACTGTCCAGAAATAACAAAAGCAAAACAGACATTTAAAAAAAAAAAAGAAAAGATGGGGCACTTGGGCATCTCAGTTGCTTAAGCGTCCGACTTTGGTTCAGGTCATGATCTCATGGTTCATGAGTTCGAGCCCTGCATCGGGCTCACTGCTGTCAGTGTATAGAGCCCACTTCAGGTACTCTGTCCCCCTCCCCTGCTTATGCTTTCTCTTTCTCTCTCTATCAAAAATAAACATTAAAAAAAAAAAAAGAAAAGAAAAGATGGACTATCAGCTGTAGTGGATTCACCAATAGAGTGCTGTCTGTCAGGCACTGTCTCTGGGTGGCCAACTGGTTCATCTGTCACAATGTCAACCTGTTTCTTCACCATGCAGTACCCTCCCACCCCTGATCTGGCCCCCATATCTTATAGTTCCCACCTCCTCCAACATTTCCTAAACCCTCCCTCCTTTTCCATTTCTTAGCTTAGGACTTTGCCCTCAACTATGTGACCACTGCAATTATTTCCTGGCCGGTGACCTTGCCTGTCAACAGTCTTTGTTCCAATTCATTCTCCACACTGCTTCCCGAGCTATTTTCCTAAAATATAAGTCAGACCTGTCATCCATCTGCTATAAAAATCTCCAATGGCTCCTACTGCCTCTAGGATAAAGTCTACATTCAATACCATACATCTGATGCATCTTTGGAAACCCTTATCATGGTGTTTAATACTTGGTAGGAGCCTAAGGAGTATGAATTGAATGCCGGTATCTTGAAACAGACCTCGGTTCTCTGTCCATGACACAATTCTTCCTATTACCACCTCACTGCAGCTAATCAGCAAAACACCATAATTATCATAATACTATAATAACAGTCAACCTTATCAAGTGCTCACTATGTATCAGGCACTATCATTAAGTGATGCGCACATATTAGCTCGTTAAACCAGTAACAACTTTATGAGATCAGTACTATTATTGTTCCTGTTTTCCAGAAAATGAAATTGAGACTCTAAAGGACAAAGTAATGTTCCCAAGGTCACACAGTGGGAAAGTAGTGGACCCAGGACTTAAAACCAAGCTCCTGGTTCTAGAACTTGAGCTCCTAAACAATTATACAGAGTTCAGCCCGAGAAAAATTGAATTTGAAATGTGGGTAATGTACAGCTCCAAGAGGCAACTAGTATATTTGATATATGAGTCTTGGCTAGAGACATAATTTGGGAGTTTTCAGCATACTAATGTGAGTGGAATTGTTCGAAGACAGTGTCAGCAGCGAGAAGGGAAGTGACCCAAATCTAGAACCAACACTAACATTTAAAGGCCCAGCTCTAGTCAGTGAGATGAAAGGAGAACCAGAAGGTGGAGGAAAGAATTTCGAAGACAGGGAGCTCTCAATCAAACGAAGCTCCTGCATCCAGCAGAATAAGCACTGCAAGACACTCTCTGTCTTTGTCCTCTTAGGGCATCAGTTAGGGACTTTGGTGAGAGCAAGCAGGTGGAGGGGGGGATGGAAGCCAGATGGCAGTGGGTTAAGGAATGAATAGGAAGTAAGGATATGGTGATACTGAGTCTTTAAAGATATTTGAGTGAGAAACCAGCAAAGAAATAGGTATCTATAGTGTCTATAGAGGAACATAATCTGGAGATTTGTTGTTTTCTGTGTTTGTTTTTTTTTTTTCAGATGTGGGGCAGGTGAGATTTGTTTACGTCTATTGATGTAGAAATGGTAGAGAAAAATAAAAGATAAAAACACAAGAGAAAAACAAAGACCTGGAGAAGATTGGAGACAATGGGACAAAATGGACTAAAATGGAGGGGTCGCCTTCAAAGGGGGAATACTTGAATCTCAGAGATAAGGGGAAGGACATGCATGCATCTTTTAAGAGTAGGACTCGAACTTTAGGAAATCACTTTCTGTTATTCACAGGGCTCTTGGTGAAACCGGGAGGTGAAGTTCTTTGCTGAGAGTGATGGGTGAGAGGTGTGGGTTGAGGTCTTGAAGGAAACAGAGAAGAGTGAATAAGCAAAAAAATCATTCATTCCTTTTCAAAATCTATCCATTTATTCAGAAATATTGATTGAGCATGTACTATGTGTCAGATACTATTACAGGCACTTGGGCTGCAGCAGTCAAAATACAGTACCTGAATCTTGGAATTTGCATGACAGTGACAGTGATATCTTGGTGCTACACTCTGAGGGGGTCCATAGACAAGAAAGGCCAGAGGAGACAACCAGAGGAAAGTGTCTTGTGGTCTGGATTAAGCCATGTCAACTTTTCTCCTCCTCAGTTTCTTTATCAATAAAATGAAAGGATTGGGTTAAGTGGTTTCTTAGTTCCTCCACTCCTACCTCTCAGTGTCTTTGATTCTAAGACAGTGAGGCATCTGGAATTGCTGAAGGAACAGTGAGAGAGAAGTGCTGAGTGGCCACTCTAAGCCAGGTGCTGGGCTACTTGGTTTGCACATGTTTTCTCTTCTAATGTTCACATGCAAACCAGGGTTCAACCAAGGTAAGTCAATTGCTATGGTTGCACAATGGAGCTTGGATTCAAGTCCATATCTGCCTAACTTCAAATCCTTTTCCAGTAGACTCCTCTGCTTCAGAAAGAACAGAAGACCAGAAGGGCAAATAGAAACAGAGCAGATACTGTCAAGTGTCTGGAGGCAGATTTGTTTTATATCACTTCAAAGGATATAATGGATATAATGGACGGGAGTATAGGAAGGACATGTTGGCTCAACGACAAAAAAGACTTTTCTGGAAACTGGAATTGTCCAACTATTGAGCTGGTTGCCTCCAAAGGCAGCAGTTTCTCACCAACGCTATTCAAGTTAAGGGTAGCGAATGTCTCTTAGGATAGTTTGGGAGTCGTTGTTTTCAATTGTAGGCTTCTACAATTCTCACAAATACTTTGATTTTAATACCGCTCATGTATTTGCTTCTTTCCCCTCCCTCTCTCTCCTCTTGGCATCTGCTTTTTCCAACAATCTGGGTTTAGATGCTGCCTGCTGCAGCTTCTAATTTTTGACATCACAGAGAGGATACCTCCTAACCCTTCCCCTCCAATCAGGCAAGCAGGTAAGAGGTCAATTGAATTTGGAGGGAATGTGTTTGTCATTATATTGGTCTCAGGGGTCTTCTGAGATAAAGAATCTTATTCAAAGAAGAAGTTTATGGTTACTCACATGGGCTGGAAGACTTTACCGACGCCATGACACAGGAGGGGGGCTGCTTTAGAGTTCACGATGATCAGAACAATTTTACCAAAGACCTTGACAACTGGCTTCAAGCACATCCATGAAAGCTATCACAGTTGTGTCTTCCCTTGGAGACTGTACCCAAGGAAGGTAAAATGACCTCCTTTTCTTTACCAGTGGACATCGATACTTACTGGAAAGTAGGACCTCCCAGGCTCTGCAACGTTTATAGTGCAGTTCAAAACTGCATTGTCCTCCCTTGGAAAGTGGTATAAAGAATACTCGGAGAATTCTACCTGTTAGGACACACAGCCAGGCTGACCAACATGGTGGTTTCCTTGGGACTGAGGGAGCTCTCAAAATGTGAGATTTTCAGGGCTATCATAGGGAAAGTTCTGGGCACACTGGAATGAATTGGTCACCTTTCACCCTACACCTTTTACACCTGAATCCAGCTAGAATAAGCCAAGTGGCCCAGTGTGGTGCACTGTGGAAGAAAATGTTAATGATCCTTCTGAAATAATATATTGTTCAATAAGAGAGACAGCGGTAAAATTTTGGTCTTATAACCAAATCAGGGTCCTTCTGAAAACACAAAGCCAAAAGTTATTCTAACACGGCAAAGATTAAAACAAAGTCAAGTCTCTGGTCAAAGATCTGAGAGTCTACCTTTGTCAAAAAGCATGCCCAAAGTAGTTAGTAGTTAGCAGAATAGCAAACGTGCTAGTTTTACTCATGGCAGAGCCCTATATATACATTGTGTTTCTCACCTGATGAATTTATGAGCCAACTGTTCCACAAAGTAATAGATTTCATTCCAGTGGTGTAGCACACTTCCTGATCTGGGAAAACAAAAGCAGATGGCACTTAATCAAGTGTTCATTCATCCTTACCTTGTATCATTTCTCTTTATGTTCTATTATCTTACATTAATTGGGCTCATTATCAGAAGCTTCTATAACTTTGGAAATCATTTGGAAAGGTGTTTAGACTCAATGTTAGTGTTCTTGAAAATTTTGTTAAAGAATCTCCCTTCCCTCCCCCTTCCATCCCTTCCACCCCCACTCCACACACTAATGCACTAAAACAATACCTGGACCTACCCAGATTCACAGGTCGGTTTCAAATCTTTAAGAAACCATTGTTTCTGTGCAATTTAAATTATTCATTGATTAGGGAAGAAAAACAATTCCAGTTTATTTAAAGAAATTAGCACAAACTAGATGCCCAAAGACACAAAGACAAACAAATCCCCCTCCTCAAAGAGTCAGGTTTCATTTGCAAATACAGATGAAAAATCTCTAAATAAGATGATAGCAAAACAAATCCAGCAGGAATCCAAAAGAATAATAATTAATTAACCGGTGGAGTTTATTTCAGGAATGCATGGATGGTTCAATGTTTAAGAACATTTAATGTAACTATTCATACTAATAAAAAACGAAGAAAAACTATACAGCCTTTCATTATATTCAAAAGGAATCTTCTTCCTAAAGCAGAGGGAAACTTTCTCTAGGACACATGGAATTACAGAATTTTAGATTTGGAAGGGGGCTTCTTTACTTCCCAAGATTGACTTCTGTTTTACTGATATCATTTATTAACTGCTTCAGTTCAGCTCGTATTTTCCACAATGCCAATACTCTCAATCTGTTGCAGTGACTTTATAGTAGGTTTTTCTGTTCTAACTCATTCTTTGTGTAGCTACGATGCCACTTCCTTTCACTTGAGGATATGTTTCAGCTGAGCACTGCATTTCTGCCTGTCATTCTAATAATTGTTGAGGTTAAGAGTTTATTCATTCTACCCTGACATTTTGTACAAAGAGTTTCCACTTGTTTCAGATTACTTTATTCACTCATTTACCTTAATTTTAACTTCTAAAGAGTTATTCGTTGCTATTTTTTCCTTTGTTTCAGACTATTTTATAGATTTTTAAATGTTTTTATTTTATTTGTTTTTTAGAGAGAGGATGCACACAGGGGAGGTGCAAAGGGAGAGGGGGAGGGAGGGAGAGAGAGAGAAAGAGAGAGAGGGAAAGACAGTGAGAGAGAGAGAGAGAGAGAGAGAGACTCATGCAACTCCACGCTCAATGCACAGCCCACTGTGGGGCTCCATTCCACGACTGAGATCATGACCTGAGCTGAAATCAAGAGTCAGACGTTCAGCTGACTGAGCTACCTAGGCATCCCTAGCCTATGGAAATTTAAGATGGATCTGTGCAATAGATTTTGTGCTTTCATTTTCATGGCACAACAACCCAAGAATTCTCATTCTGATTGAGTATATTCCATCTCTATAAGGAGAATTTATTTGTCTCTGCCCCACATCCAAAAATGATGTTTATCTGACCTGAAGAAAGGGGCACAATATGTTATGGTCATACAGCGAAAGACTCCGTATCATAAGGCTATCTCATTTTTCCCAACTTAATCTGTAACTTCAATTCTAGGAAGTATTCTGAAAGGATGTTTTGTAAAACTCAAAAACTGACTTTAAAAATGAAATGAAGATTAAATGTCTAAAAATAATTAAAGCAATTGTGAAAAATAATAATAAAGCTGGAAAGCTTGCCCTATCCGATATAATGACTCCATATGCATGACACGTGAAATAACTGTAGAGCCAATGGAGTAGAAGAGAGAACTCAAACCTCAACCTACATGAAGTCTTGCTATATAGTGAAAAAGGTGACTCAGACTGAGGACAGAGAACTAACCCCCTAATAATGATGTTATGACAGTGGATTTCTAATTGGGAAAAAAACCCAGTTAGATCACTGTCTCATACCAAATGTAACCCTAGATGTATTAAAACCTAATGGGAAAAACAAAACTTTAAACCATTGAGTGAATTATAGAAGGAGACTTTTATGTCCTCAGGTTAGTGAAGGGTTTCTCCAGCCAGGTACAGAAAGTAGGAATTATTTTTTATGAAAAGGATAATTTTGACTACCTGAACCATCTACAATTCTGAATGACAAATTGGTACCATAAACAGGTTCAAAGAAAAGAAAAGAAGTGATGTCTGCAGCAAATAAAAAAGACAAAATTTGTGTCCAGGATATGTAAATAATTGGTACAAGTAAATATTAAAAAGCAAACAATAGAAAAATAGACAAAGGATCAGAACACACAATCCCCTAAAGGAGAGTAAATCAGCATTTGAACAACATTTAACTCTTCTAGGTAATACAGAAATACATATTTAAACAATTGTTTGGGGAAAAACAAGAAATTTCCTCTGGTGGCAGCATAGAGCCCTGCAGAGTTGGGGGTGAGGAGATGGACAGATGGCGAAAGGAATCTGGCAAGGAGAGGGGTGGGGACCCCTCCTCTCAAAAATAAACCTTTTCCATTCTGGCCTCTTAGCCTTTATACATATTCCAGCTGCTTGGGACACTCCAGGTCCACACTGCTCCTACTGATTCTTTAAGACTCAACTCAGTCTCTGCCTCTTGCCTTTAACTGACATAGATGGGGCTCATCACCCCTGCTCCATGCTTTCAGGGCACCATGTACATCTCTCAGTCATTACTATCTGCTCTCTCTGTGAGGGATTTAGGGATACTTGCCTCTCCAGCATCAACCTGTTTGTACAGCGGAAGAAAGAAGAGCATGAAAAGAAGAAGCCTTGATTGCTCAAGGAAGCCTCTTGATCTTTTGCCAGCTGGACACCAGCTCTTCTGCCCTCATTTAGATAAACCCTCTGAATTTGGTACTCAGACAGCTCCAGCCAATTCCTGTGACCCTGTGTGAACCCGAGAAGCCTTCCCATATGGGCCAGTGACTCTAGAGCACAGCTCCTTGGTCAATGGACCTACCTAATCATCAACAGAACAACCTACTGGCAGCTGGAAGTCTCCCAAGAGCTCACCAGAACTGCATATCCTAGCCCTGGGCTTTTAAAACTTTGGAAATCCTCTTTCATTAGAATCCAGGACATCATCCTGGACAGGATTCAATGGTATACTTCAAATTTCAAAGACTGGTCCTAGCTGCATTCCTTCAGCCATGGGGTAAGTGGTCTGGTTCTGGGGTTAATGCTATGTAAGTGCCTCAGAAGAGGCAACACATGACTGATGATAAGCCATAGTCCGATCTAGAAATCTACAAATCCTTTTCACTGGAACCAAGAGATTTCCTTGAACACTGGTCATCTGTGACCTCTTCTGAAATGTAGTGTTGTATGTTGGTCCAGGTGACCAAGACAAGGTCTATCTGAGGGGTAGTGTAAGATGCCTAGTGATTAGAGAGGAATCCCCTACTTCCTTCATCCCAAGTTTGATTTTCTCATTAGTAGAGAAGTCCTACAGCATGGGAATTCTATAGGAGGGAGAAGAGGAGGCAAAGTGTTGGTGAAATAGGGACTTGAATCAGAATTGAGGCACCATTCTTGGTTGTTTGCCTAAGGAGGAGAGGTTTGGAGTAAATTCTCAGGTTACCATTTCTTTGTTCTCAAGGATGGTCTTTATTTAACAGCTACAAATCTATTTGCATCCCTTTACTTAAATAGGTCATTCAATAATTACACTTTCACACTGTCTTAAAACATTCCTTTTTCATGATTCTTCTATCTGACTGACATGTAAAATGTACACAATTTGGTATTCATGTGATTTGTTGATGCCACAAATAGGGCAAGATCTGAGAAATCACCTCGGGTGTTAAAGAAAAGTCTGTATCTATCTGAAAACCTTCTTGCTAATGGGCAGGGACTGTATTTTCTCAAGAAGAAAATAAAATGAGACCCCTAAGACAAAACTGGAGGCAAGGAGATATTTGATAGGCTTGCTTCTCCTATCCCAACTCTGCTAATAATTGCCCAGAGACTGTTGAAGTTTGTTGTTTCATACTTAAACATCATCATTCTTTATGCAATTATATAAGCCTTGACCAAAATATACCGTTTTGGGGACACACTTGAAATGTACCTAGTCTGTTACCTCAAGTGTGGGTAAATATAACCTTCTCATATTCTGGGAACCAAACTGGTTTTGTCTTCTCTGGGTTACCATGGGACCCCAAGGGGTCTAACCTACTCAAGGAACAGAGGAATATAGGGTTATCTATATCGCTGCCTTGGAATCCTTCTAGTCCTTATTACTGAGTCTTCTTAACTGGCAAAATCACACTCTGTCTCACCCCAAGGTTATATTACCCCCTGGGAAGGGAAAGAACCCCATGTCAGTTGCTTGTGATTTTAGCCATGGAGGTGAGCTTGTTGGGGGTACTGCTCGTATTTCTTTAACCCAAATCTGCAGGAGCAAAAGGCTTACCTGCCTGGTGCCATAGTCCCGCTCCCTGCCTCATCACCACCCAGTGGTCATAGCTAGACTTCCTAACCCTGAACTCTAAATACATCATTCATGGGGCCTCTGGAAACCATCCACTGTGACCTCATCCAGACTTCTGTCGTTCTGCCACATGGATAGATATGTTAGGATAGATATAGGTCTTTGACTGAATTTGGACTTTGTGTTAAAGGATGCATGTGTCACTTGTACTTTGCCTTATAAATTGGTTTTCTGGCTTGGAATATGCCCTAGTAGGTACTCCCAGTACCTAGTTGTACCTAGTAGGTACAACCCAGGGTGGTGTGTCCATATTCGGATCATTGGCTTCCTCTCAACCCTGAGGACTTAAGTGGATTCCTCCTGGTCATAGCCAGAAATAGGGTGTTAGATGGGGAAATGGTAGAGAGTGGATTCAATTCCAGCTTCTATCCACCCTACCACGTATAAAACATACCATTAATCATATCAACCTATTTAATAGTTAATGATATTAAAATCCCAGCTATGGAGCCCTGATGTTCTCTTCAGGCAGTAATGGCTCACCCA